GAGCTAGTGAAGAAACTGCTTTAGAATATTAAAAAAATTTTTGAAGAATACGAAAGACAGAGTTTTCTTCACGCTCCTACTGCAATGGTAACCAAGTTATTCAAAAAATTAAATTAGCTGTTTAATTCTAACTCCCGTACTTAGCATCAACTTTCATTATAACCTGTTTTAATCTGGTCTTAGCTATAAGTGAAAAAAACAAAAACAAAAGGTAAATAAACAAAAAAATTCTTTAAAAACTGTCTACTTCTTTTCCACACCCGAAAATTTCAAAATAACCGGCTGAAAAATTTAAGAAATGTCAACGTAAACAAAACTTCCCTTATTCTTAGAGGAACAACGTCTAAAACAAATCAGTAAGCAATATTTTTGAAGCGTTATTACCAAAGCCCAACAAATAGATTAAATGAGAAAATCCACTTGTTCAGCTGTTTTCAATATCCACATCTTCTATACCAAAACACATTTTTTTCCCTATTATTCTTGATGACAAAAAAAAACGTCTACCAAATCAAATGTCGTTTTATCATACCTTCGCTATCCTCAGAGCGGCCATCCACTTATGATAGGACATTGCATCTTCGGCGCATACATATTTAATGTACTTTGAATCTTTGACTTGAATTTTTGGATGCTTAAATTATTAAAGTTAAATAATTACATTTCAAGAATAACTCCAACATTTTTCAAAAAGGAAAGCAGCAGAAAGACAGAAAAAAGCGATTAAAAATGTAGGTACCTTGATAGCAAAACCCAAATTTGTTGGAGCTTTATATTTCTTCTTCCAATCCGTACAGGTATACGCTTGATTTGTTTGCATGTTCATCAAGCATTGTAAATCTTTAGAACTTCGACTTTTTCCTTTCGGACAGTAATAAAGTCCGGAAGACCTCAGAACAAAGAAGTGTCTTTTCCAAGCTTTCTTACCGTCAGCCTTCAGCAGCAGCCAACCTTCAATTTCTGGTGGCTGAACATTGTCACATTCAAAGAACTCCTAAAAAAATTCTGTTCATTAAAGAACAACAGATTTTGCAAATACAGTAAGGCAGTGGCAAAAGCTTTTTAGAGGAAAGTATATAATGCCCTCATCACCTAAAAAGTCTTCAAAGTTTCTCTAACCAAAATCGGCAGACAACACTGAAATGACAGAAAGAAAAAAAACAACTGACCTTCACAATCCTTTTTTTTGTTTCCGGCAATGCTGCTTCAGCAGCCGTAAATGAGTCAATATTTTTTTCGGTAAGTAAAAATTCTTCTGGACGATCGATAAACGCATATTTGTCTGGTCGACGCGTAAAATACAAACGGTTCCTCGAGTTCTGCATCCACATTAGGATGTTTTCCACCAAAGACTCATGATCCTCATAAATCCTCCCTGAAATTAATTTTTTTTATAGTCTTTCAGTGAACGCAAAAAAAGAACTTGTTTTCAATTCATCAATGAATAAATTACAGTGATGGGCTGTAACGAAAAAGAGCCACAACCAAAAAGTTGCCCAGATTCCAGAAGCCGTTCGGAGGCAAAATAAATAAATAAAAAGAAGAAGAGCAATAAAGCCACTGACTGATTAGTAAGTCAGGATATTCTTCGACAATACTGTGATTTTGTGTCAGCGGTATACGCTGTTTTTCAGCAATCCGTTTAATCACATCAATAACCGTCCATCGTTCATCCACTAACATTGACATTGACGATGAACCATCATCAAGGAAAAATTTCACATAAACCTTTTTAATATTTGCTTCACGCATTTTTTCTAATGCTTCACGTATTTTTGCAGCTTTAATTTCGTTTACAGTCTTTGGCTGATTATTGTTCAACTGCGTTGCTGTACCGTTATATGACTGGTTTGGAGAAGCCTAAAAGGAAAAAAAAAATAAATTTTTTAAGAGAAAACAAACTGCTCCCACTAAAAAAAGCCACTGATAAAGAGGAACAATGAATAAATAGAAAGGATATTTTAAGTAACATTGATAAGTGGTAAGGTATTAATATTTTTAGCGAACAGTCGATTTAAAAGTGGTCATAAGAAGAAAAACCGAAAATCATTGTCAACCTTCATATCTTCTTCACGTTTGAGGACTGTTCTCAGCACAATTATCTGCACCAATTAACAACAAACTGCACTTTTTTTCTTAACCACAATATATATTTTCAGTCCCAAATCTCAATCAAAAATCCGTTAGATATAATTCTCAATGCCAAAAAACCTTAACAAAAGTTCAACCGATCTCGGTTTCCTATCCCAGTCGTAAATGCTAATATGAGCCGTAGTGTTATTCTTCCTCTCAACTGTCATTCGACTTCCGCTTTTCTTTTTCTGTTGAAATCAAGAGCAGCGGTATCAGTTCACAAAACCTAACCGATCAACAACAATTTCTGATAAGACAAAATTTCATGAAAAGAAAAAATTTCACTCAACGTACTTTTGCAGAAATAAAAACAGAAAAAGGCATATTTTATCAATATTCTGTAAGTTAAAAAAATTTGCACTCTCATCTCTTCTCAAATTCCTCAATTCCTTATATCAAAATCCCCAAAGTTTACACTGTTCTTACCATATTGACTTATCAAAACAGAAAGAAGCCAATAAGTACCCAGAAAATAAAGCAGATCTTTTGGCTGTGTTATCTATCATTCAAGCAACTGCTTAATAAGATTAATTCTGAGCAAAAAAAAAACTTTCTCTGAAACTAAATGATAAAATCTTTGTTCAAATCAAAGATAATTTTTAATGTTTTTTCCTCGTATTCCCAGCTATTTTTTAACAACAATACTGCTAGTTTGGTCCTCGCAATAGGGTGTTCCAAAAAAAAAAGAGAAACCAAACAAATATGGTCCAAGACGTTAAGACTATCTTTCCAACAAAAAAAGCATTTCTGACGTTAACAGTTTAGTATCGCCGCAGCAGTCCGTATCATTTTTACAATATTCCTATCAATCAGTGCAATTTATTTCTAATAAAAAAAAAAAAAAAGAGAAAAAAAACAGAATAAAGCTTTCCTTTTTTATTCGACAACATAGCCCTCCAAGAATAGTCCCAAAAATAAAACTAACTCTAACAAAAACATCAAATAAAGAAAAACACTATAAAACAACTAATACAAACAGCGAAATGTTCAGATGATCACCAAATTTTGTAACTTCAAATAATATCTATTAGTAAAAATAAAAAAAAAAAAAACTGAGGTAAAACTACAATTTTTTTCACCAGTTTTGTAATATAACAACAATTAACAAAAGTTGATACCATTTTAGTAGATAATGTTTAGTAATTTTCAAGCTGTTGATACTGAATTCTTAACTATGTAACCAACGATCACTGCTGTCAACCGTCAATAATGCCGTTGATGCTATGATTCTATCAACAATTAAATTTTGTCTTTCCAACCTACTCACAGTCATTAGTTGAAAAATAAGAAAAATCGAAAAAAAAGACGCACATATTTTTACACATAATCAAGCAAATATTCGATTTGTAATTTAATAGACAACTTAAAATCTGTGCGCCAATCCCGCGTCCTCAGAAAATTATATTAGAATGTTAAATTCGTAAAAGACGATGTTTTCGGTTAAAATTGTCACCAGCAAAAACAATGAATAGAACATCAAATGTATCAAGATTGATAAACTGAATAAAACAAAATAAACAACAGAATATATAACAAAAGAAAATAGAATTTTAAGGAAAGAAAAGCTAACAAAAAATTTAATGAAAAATAATTGGACTTTACAAACCGTACTGTCTTTCTTAGTTTTCCACCCACCCATACACTTCAATTATACTCCCAATACACATTTTCAAACAACAAAAAGAAAATTTTCATCAGTATCAATTTTGCTCCTCTTAACATCTTAGTGTACAGAAGGAAAAAAAATTGATTTCAACTAACCCAAAAAGAAATGTAAAAGCAAAAAAAAAATTGGACTCATATAACCAATTATAGGATAGCAAGTATGGTTAGCTTTAAGCCTAGAAACATCATTGTTTACCCATTCTGAAGATAAAAGAAACACAAACAAAAACACTCACAGACACAAACACACCTGTTGAGTGGGACTTGGAGTGTTCAGTGAATCTCGACAACTATCGGAACTGGAAATTGCGGAATTACGACATCGATTACGAGATTCGGTACTGGATGAATCGCCAAATGCAGAATCATAGTCAGGACTTGGACATATTGACGAAGACGCTACCGGACGTATACAGTCATCGCTGAGACTGTTGGACACAACGGCTCTAAAGATGAGTAAACGATATCACCACCATTTAAACCCTATTTAATGTTTCTAAGTGTTTCATTTAAAAAAAAAAATTTGAAAGAGGAACTACCAGTTGGTAGATCAAAAAATAAATTAAAAAAAAAAAAAA